TAGCTTGAGAGATAAGAGACAGTGAGAGGGAAAGTAAGAAATCATCCCCCAAGGGGGGTGGCCATGCTGCAGTTCTTTCTCCTCCATTCTCCTCAGGATTTGGGGCCCACGTTCAACCATGCCTGACATGATTTTCTTTTTCTTTTCTTTTCTTTTTTTTTTTTTTTTTTTTTTTTTGTAGAGGTTTTGCCCTAGGATGCATGTGTTCACCATAGAGAGAAAGACAGAGACAGTGAGCGGGAAAGTAAGAAGTCATCCCTCTGGGGGATGGACTCCACAATCCCTTCTTGATTCTCTTCCTAGGATCTTGGGCACACATGCACATGCACCTGGTGTGTTTCAAGCCACTGGGTCAGGAACTTGAACCACTTTTGGCAATGTGGAAGTCCACCAACATAACTTCTATGCCATCCACAGCCCTATCCTGGCATGATTTTCAAGCCCCCAGGTCTAGGACTCAACCACAGTTGGCCATGTGTGAGTGTAGCACCTTAGCAACCATGCAGCCTGCTGGCCCCTGTATTAGAGTTTCTTAACCTCAACACGATTGATGTTTTAGGCTAGCTAATTCTGCTCTGTGTATCATTGCCTCTTACAAAATGCCAGTGGGCTCTTCCTAGTTGTGATAACCAAAACCTCACCAGACATTGCCAAATCCCTGTTGGTGGATAAAATTGCCCATGGTTGAAACTGTCGTTTAACTTCTTGCAGTTTTGTTTGTTCCTTTCTCTATATTAAGGTAGAGTCTCAGATCATTGATTTTGGATCATCCCTTGCCCCCCTCTAAAACAAGGATTTAAAGCTAAACATTTTTCTCTAAGCATTGCTTTAGCTATCTAACAAATCTCATAAATTTTTGTATGTTGTGCTCTATCATTCAGTCGAAGAGATTTTCTAGTTTCTTGGACCTGTGAATTCTCTGGTTAGTATGAATAGGCCATATGAGCATTCTTTTTTATGTTCCTCGGTGTATTTGGTATATTCCTGTAAGTGGAAATGTTGAGTCATAAGCTATGCATAAAGTCAGCTTCAATATGTAAGTTCTAAGGGAAAAAGTTATTGACTGCCATTATTGTTGTGCATCCTTTTTAGACACTTGCTTTCTATGGGGTTAGTTATTTTGATGATTATGGTTTTGTCATTATTAAGGTGGAAAAAATACATTTCGTATGAGTTATTTTTTTCCTAAAAATTTGCAAGTTTTAAATTTTACTGTCTTTAATTATTTTTAAAATAAGATATATCTTTTGATGGAAACAAATGCACCAAACTACTATTTTGAAAGAATAATAATAATAAATAACTAGAGATTTTACTATTCCATTAATTCCAGAAGATTTTCTATTTCAACCCCCTTTGGGTACATACTTTGGAAAACCCCACTTTGCTATAGCTGAAACTGTTTTTCTTGCCCTTTGAGTGTTTGTATATGAAGTATAAATTTTAAGACACCAGTTAGAAGATAGTTAGCTTTAATAGAATGTGTTCTTTTCATTATGGGGAAGCTCTTAGGCACTTTAGGATTAGAAAATAAGTGAGGGCTAGTGGGTAGCATGATAGTTAAGTTGCTGAACTCCCACATGGCTGGCCATGGTTCAAGTCCTGGACCGTGCTTCATGCTTTCTCACTGCCCCCTGCCCCCTGCCCCTCTGGTGAGCACATATGTCCTATAGCAAAGTTTAAAAAATAATAATAAATAAAAGTAAATAAATAATTCCTTTAAAAATCAGTAAGTGAAACAAAAATGTTAATAAATTGGGGGTTGGCTCATTAATTCAACAAAGATAGAGGTCTTTTATTTTGCTGAAAGAGAGTATTAATTCTGAGAGTGGGAGCTTTAATTTTCCTTTTATGATGGCACTGCTCTTGAACCAAACTATTGTTTTGTGCAGTTTCGGGTCTATGCTTCATTTCATCCTCTGCCACCAAATGACACCCTATGGAATTAAAAGTTTGTGTATTACAGTCATGTTGTTGTCAGAAACGTCACATACCTAGTTAAGATAATGACTCCCATTCAAATAGAGATGAGGATGTCTTTCTTAAAGGGATGTTATTTGTGAAAAAAGATTACCTGTGACTCAGTGATAAAATGGTAGAAAAGTCTTTCTCTGTGTCCTTGGAAGTTGTTAAGCATTCAGAGTAACACAGTTCGAAAGGAAGATATTTCATTAGTGTTCACTCTCAGGGGTGCCTTTTATTTAGAGAAGAAAAGTGGACTAACCGGATGGCTTATTCAGAACGTCTCAACCTTACAGAGAACTGATCATAACTGAATATTTCAGTGCCGCTGTATTGGAGGGGCCTGGTCGGGCACGTAAGCTCAGAGAAGCAGAGGGGTTATTTTCCAGTTACTCGTTTATCCCCAGTACTGTGCATTATTATTTTCCCTGTGTCCCTACAGTCAGATACCTTTCTCTCTGTCATACTCACAAACGTTGTCCTCACAGCTGACTGCGTGACCAAGTGACTTCACTCACTATCTTTTCTTTCATTTTTTTTTTCTTCTTGTCGTTATGGTTTTTGTTGCTTATTTATTTCCAGGATAATTCCAAGTGTTATTGAGAATTTGTTGTTTCATGTAATATATTTAGCAAGGTATGGGTTGTATATATATATATTTTTCCCCCCTTTGGAGAGGTTTTTGCCATTGGGTGCGTGCACTCACCAGACAGACAGAGACAGACAGACAGACAGAAAGAGAGAAATCAGCCCCAAGGGGAAATGGCCACGCTGCAATCCCTTCTCCTCCCTTCTCCTCTGGGGATCTTGGGCACTCACGCACACGCGCCCGGCGTGAGTTTTAAGCCACCGGGTCCGGGACTTGAACCATGGTTGACTCCATGGGAGTCCAGCGACATAGCCATTACGCTAACTGCTAGTCCCTGGGTTGATATTTTTAATTTTGTGAAGAAAAAAATAAAAATATTGCCAGTTGCTAATATTTATTGCGTATTTATTACATGCTAGGGTGCTTTTACATATTTTTCTCTGATTCTCAAAGTAATCTGGCTGAGGTATATGATAATATTCTAGTTTTACAAATGGGGAAATTGAGTCAGAGAGGTTAAATAAATAGTTCCAAAGTTATACAGCTAGTATGAGTGACAGAGTTAATATTTAAATTTAGGATTTTTTCCTTCTAATGCCATGGGTCTTTATGATCTGTATATATTATTCATTGATTTTGCTTTAGACTTCACAACTCTGCTTTGTCAAATTTTTTTTTTTTTATGAGATTTTTGCTATAAGGCACATGTGCTCGCTGGAAAGACAGAGAGATAGAAACAGAGAAATCACCCCTCAGGGGGGATGGCCATGCCACAATCCCCTCTCCTCCATTCTCCTCTTGGGGTTTTGGGCACACATGCACATGTGCCCGGTGTGAGGTTTAAGCCACTGGGTCCAGGACTTGAACGGCAGTTTACTATGTGGAAGTCCAGTGATGTAACCAGTATGCCATCTGCTGGTCCCTAGTTGGTTAATCTTATTCCTTCCACTTGGAATGGCATCTCCTTAGCAATCCCAGACTCTACAGACAGCAAATATACCCCTTGTTTAAGTTCCAACCAAATGCCACCATTTTCTAACATTTTCTCTCTAGCCCTTTGTAGAGGTAAACTTGGGTCAGCTAGCAGGTGACATGGTGGCTAAGGCATTGGGCTCCTACATGGTCGACCACTGTTTGAGTCCCAGACCTGTAGTTTTGAGAATCATGCTGGGTGCATGTATGTGTGTTCCCAAAATCCTAAGAGGAGAATGAGGGGAAAAGGGTTTGCAGCATGGCTGCCCACCTTGGGGGTGATTTCTCATTTTCCCTCTCTTTGTCTCTCTCTCTGGCAAGCGCACATGCCGTATAACAAAAACTAAAAAATAAATAAATAAAAAAAATTCTAAGTTGGGACAACATATGTTTCTTGACCTTTTTGAATCTCAGTATTCTCGTTTATAAAACAAACTTTTTTTTTTTTTTGGAGAGATTTTTTTGCTATAGGGCGTGTGTGCTCGCCAGACAGACAGAGAGAGAGAGACAGAAAGCGAGAAATCACCCCCCCAGAGGGGTTGGTCACGCCGCAATCCCTTCTCCTCCATTCTCCTCTTGGGATCTTGGGCACGCACGCACACGCACCCAGCGTGAGTTTTAAGCCACCGGGTCCGGGACGCAAACTGCAGTCGACTACGTGGGAGTCCAGCGACATAGCCATTACGCTAACTGCTGGTTCCCGAAACAAACATTGTTTTAGGAATAAAAGTGAGGTAATGTAAGATCATCACGCAGCACGTTGTGTAGCAGACACTATGCTTCTTCAATATATGGTAAGGATCAGAATCAAAATGAAAAAGGTCACCCAAAGAAAATGACCATGGCTATTATTTTGAGTTGTATACTTTCAGTCTTATAAAACATACTTCTTGGTTTTATTAATATAACTTGTTTTCTTTATTTATATTAATATATTTTTCTTCCTCGTATAGCTTTTTCTTATGTTTCACACTAAAGGCAGGCGAGATTAAATTTGCCTGTGTCACTTAGCAGTAAGGCAAGCCTGTTTCAGTTTCTCTGCTGGACAGAATATTTTTGTGTGTGTTTACGAGTGGGTAGGTGGAGATCAAGGAAGACATAGAGGTACACACAACTTTTCTTTTTAAACAAAAATGACACTATGTCCGAATTAATATTTCTAACATAATGTCTGCACATCAACACTATGGGATGCTCCAGGAGAATCATGTAGTGGTATTAATTTTATTAAAATAATAATAAAACTCTAGTTTCAGAATATTTAGAAGTGGTAACTGGAAATACTCTCTGAATGAACAGTCCTAATAAACCTAGACTCTTTCCTCTTGATAAGTGAGATGGTATAAGCCTGACTATATATTACATAGGTAAATAAATTCACTGGATGTAGTGAAGCAGTTAACTAAACCAGTTCCACTTTCTGTGGCCTTAGCAACAAAATGTGGTTAATGTGACTTTTTCTTTTTTTTTCTTTTAGATCTACACACAATGAGCTGGAAAAGAATCGGTGAGTCACTTGATGAAATGCAGCTTTCACTTGTGTTTAGAAAGCAAACTCACCGTTTTCTCTGTTGCAAAGAATGTAACAGTGCACACGTAGTTGTAATTTTAGTTTTGAAATGTATAGCCTGTCGTGATTCAGTTATAGATGTATTTTCTTCAAAAAAAGAAATAGTAAGCCTATACTATATAGACTGGAAGAAGTAAGCACACTTTTAAGCTGAGTTGATTTTGAGTTTATGGTGTAGTTTTCTTTATTTCTGTTTCTGGGAACAAGTGAACTGTGATAGGCTCATGGCTCAAATACAGTCTTGCTAAAGAACAAGATTTCTGAAGAGTAGGTCATACACATGATAAATTAAAGGGCACTGACTTTTTCTTCCTTTGCTATTTATTCTTTTGTTTATTCATTTACTTGGAGATTTGTTAACTATTTATCAATCATGAATTATATGTGCAGGCAGGCAGAATGCTGTACATGGGAAATATAAGAATGTATAAGGTGGTTTCTGTTTTTAAGGAACTCACAGCTTTTGGGGGTAAGAGAGGTAATTAAAATACTGTATGATGTGGTAAGTATGGTAATAGGGAAGCAGAAGGTACAAGAGGGTACTGAGAGATCGTTTCGGAAGGTCACCTGATTCTGCCCTGAAAGGACTTTGGCAGTTTCTGCAGGGGATAGTACGTGAGCACTGTGTGCTGAGAAACTGCAAGAGTCAGTATGAGTATAAGATTATAGCACAAAGTTACCAGGCCAGATGTTGAAAAGGCTTATCAAGTATGTTGAAGAGCTGATCTTTTCCTGAGAGGAATAGGGGGTGGTTGAAAGATTTTAAGAAACGTTGTCATATGATTGTATTTGTATCTTGGAAAGATTACTTTGACCATAATTAGAGTTGGTTGTTGGGAGAAGGGACACTAGATGCTTGAAGACCCTTTTGAAGGCTATTGCAGTCATCCAGGTAAGAGATGATGGTAGCCATAGAGAAGTAGACAAAATAGGGACCAACGGATGGTGTAATGGTTACGTTGCTGGACTCCCACATAGTCGACCGTGGTTCGAACCCTGGACTCAGTGGCTTACACTCACAGCAGGCACATGTGTGTCCATGCCCAAAATCCCAAGAGGAGAATAGAGGAGAAAGGATTGCAGCATGGCCATCTCCCCTAAGAGAGGTGATTTCTCACTTCCTGTTGCTCTGTCTCTCTGGTGAGCACATGTGAACTATAGCAAACATCTCTCTTTTAAAAAATGAAGTAGACAAAATAGAGAATGGAGTAGAATCAATTAATGGTTAGTTGGCTATGGGTAGTTAAGTTTTAGATGGTATTACCATTTACAGAGAAAAAGGAATTTAGGAAAAGGATAAGTTTGGGAAAGAACTTGAGAATTTTAAAAGGAAAATATTCTCATTTTGGAATAGAGATTAGGTTAATGACCAATAAACTGGAATTATTTGTTCCAGCCGCTTTTGCACAGGCGAGATTTCATGAACTTCAACTTTTTGTCTGTTTTTTTAATAGAAGGGATCTTACCGATTGACCACGTCAACCGCCTCATTGCAGATGAGTTTAAAGGCCAAATCCTCCCGAAAAGGCTTAGCAGAGTTCTTCAGTTACCACTTCGTTCACACAATGCTTTAGTTTTACTTCCTGTCGTCAGAGTGATTAGTTAACATTGTCACGGTTTGTTAATATGTCTTTTCTGTCAAATAACTATGACTGCTTCAAAGGCCAGTTTCTACCGTCCGGGCCCAGCATCTGCTGCGTGTGTAGTGGATGATGGCTTTACTATTAAGCGAAGGGTGAAGCTGGAGCTCGAAGTTCACTCTAGTCAAAGACACTGTGCTGGTCAGTGGCGAGGCAGCTCAGGGCCTCCTGCCCTTTAAAGAATCTCTTTTTTGCCTTACATTACTGGTATGTTAAGGATCTGGGTGAATGAAAGGAAATATCTGACTAGGTTCAGTTAAACATAGCAAAAAAGACCAAGAAATGGCGGCTCTGCGGATCCTAAAAATAAAACCTGACATTGCACTTTACTTTAAATTAGCGTATTCGTCCCATGCGTGTTAAATACTGATAAACAGGCAGCTTTTATCGTTATTTCACCCATCTGGATGTGGTCCTTGGGAGACCCCCATTGGCAAGCAGGCAGAAACCTTTGCTTAACACTAAAGATACTCTTTTTAGTAATTATTTAGAACAGATATTTTTTCGTTTCGTTCGTTTTTTAAATTTGCCATGGGGCAAATATTCTCACCAGAGAGAAACAGAAAGAGAAAGTACCCTCTGTGAGGAATGACCACTCAGTAATCCCTTCTCCTTCTTTCTGGATTTTGGGCATGTGTTTCTCAAGCTACCAGATCCAGGACTCGGCTCACACAGTCAGCCATGTGGGATCTAGCCGCCCAGCCACCATGCCACCTAGCTGGCCCTGGAACAAGGGTTTGAACATCTTTTTTTTTTATTGTTACTTTCATCCATGGGATTCTTGTATTTTTGTTTTTGTTTTGTTTTGTTTTAGTTTTTGCCAGAGGGCATATGTACTGGCAGGAGAAAGATGAGAGAGTTGAGAAAGCAACCCCCCTGGGTGCATATCACAAACCCTTCTCTTCTATCCTTCCCTCGTTTTGGGATTTGGGGCATGAACACACACATACCCAGCATGTTTCTCAAGCGGCTGGGTCCAGGTCTTGAACCATGCAGTCCGCCAGGTGGGATCCAGCCACCCCAACCACCAAGCCAAGGGCTGGCCCAAGGTTTTTAAATCTCTGAGTAAATTTTATTTAATGCATCCTGCATATCATTTCTGAGTTACTGATAAGTTTTAAAAAATTAGAGGAGACGGTATGTATAGCACTTACAATAGTACCGTGATGTGCTCTATAAATTGTTTAACCTAGTGTCTGACTGTGGCACAAGTATAATGCATGGTTTTTATTATGGGCTATATGCGCCTTCCAGTGAAAGTCTTTTGTTCATATTTTATTTACTTAGATCTAACATTCGATGACTCTTTCCTACCCCACTTGCAACATGGTTCTCTCGTCTTCTCCTGACGGCCCTTGAGTGGTTAATAAACATTCTTTATTTATTTCCCAAACTATTTCTTTCTGTTACCCCCACACACACCCCCGCCCTGCCGCCTTCTCTTCCCTGAGGCTTCAGTGAAAGGTTATATAGAATTAATCTTTCCAAAATATACTTGTTTTTAAAGGGGATTGTATCAACATAAACAAAACTCTAGTAGCATGTGTCAGAGTCAGTGCCAAAGGAAAAAAAAATTAATAACCCACACCCTACTTTTGAAAAGTTACCATCTTGTAATCTTTCAAAACCCAAAAATATTGGTAGACACGAAAAGATTAATAGGGAGTGTGTGGAGAGCTGTTCTGACTGAATAACGAGAAAGTAGCACAGGAACATTAAAAAAATTTAAGCCTGGGGACCAGCAGATGGTATAAAGGTTACATCGCTGGACTCACATAGCTGACCGCGATTCAAGTCCTGGACCCAGGGGTTTAAAACTCACTCTGGGTGTGTGTGCATGTGTATCCAAAATCCCCAAGAGGAGAACAGAGGAGGGGGGATTGCGGCATGGCCAGCCCCTCTGGGGGGTGATTTCTCACTTTCTATCTCTCTCAGTCTCTCTGGCGAGCTCAAGAGCCCTATAGCAAAAATTTCTCTCTCTCAAAAAAAAAAAAAAATTAAGCCTGCATTGTCACTACAATTTTTAGGGTCCTTCCTAGTTTTATTTAACAGTCTTTTTTTAACCAAGGCATCACTTTTATTTAATGTGGGGAAAAAAAAGTTAACCTACCTTTGGCATCCTTCAACATAAATAGAATTTTGGGGACCAGCAGTTGGTGCAATGGCTATGTCACTGGACTCCCATGTGGTCAACCAGGGTTCGAGTCTTGGCCCCCATGGCTTAAACTCACGCTTAGCGCGTGTGCGTGCATTCCCAAGATCCTGAGAGGAGGAAAATGGAGGACAGATTGTGGCGTGGCCATACCCCCTTAGGGGGGTGATTTCTCGCTTTCTATCTCTCTTTCTCTCTGTCTTTCTGGTGAGCGCACATGCCCTATAGCAAAAACCTCTCAAAAAAAAAAAAAAGGTGGAATTTTGGCTTTACTTTGAATATGATCATATGTGAGGAAAGGAACTTACTATCAAAGGGGTTATTTCATTTTGTCTTTATACTGAAAAGACATGCCTGTAACAATTCGTATACTTGAAATTTTGTCGCTTTATGTATACCATATTCATGTCAGAAATTGTTTTATTCCCTTTTTAGCTCAGTTCTAAACTCTTGCTTTATAAAACTCTGAGTTGGTGCTTTTTACTGGGGCAAATGCAGTGAGAATTAGAGTAGGTGATATAAAATTGTTACCGAATGGCAGAGTAATTCTTGATAGCTATTTTAAACAAAGCCCTAAAATAATTGAAGTCCTGGGTCTGGCATTGAGGCAATAATAGCCAACCAGTGTTGAGGGTCATACTCTCAATCTCAGAGAGAAGCCTAATAATGGGGATTTGGGGCCGGCAGGCCCAGAGTATTTTGCTCTGAGCTACAATTATTCCTGAATGCCTATAGCTCATTAGGGAGCTTTAGATAATTTCAGTACTGGTGAAAAAAAAAATTCACATTCATTCTTGGATAGGTCCTGAGGGCAGATTTCTGCCTAAAAACCCTGTTTATTATTCTGATGGTCCACCTGGTTCAGAGCATTGGTACTAAATAACTCTGTTCTCCTAGACCTGCAGCAGGTCATGACAGGCCCAGGAGGTGGAGATGGAAGTGAGTAGAAGGGTGGCAGAATATAAATGTTCTGCATTCCTTAGGAACCTCTGCGAATCACCTCCTGGTAAACTTAATGAGTCTTCAAGATTGAAGAATTAAGAATTTACTTTGCCTGTTGGCTTATCTTATGAGTTGGGTCCTTTGCCAGAGAAGAAACGATTTAGTACAGATTTTAGATTGCTTCATTGCCTTTTCATTTTCTT